ATTTACGCTTTTCTCCCCCTTTACCTAATAGCAATACTGTCTGTCACAAACAATTGTTGGTCAATAGCAGAAAACCAATGATGAACTACTTACCTAACAAGGTAGCGATATTCTGACAATCGCCATAAGTCTCCCAGAGCATAATTCGTCGGTCAAAACCTGCGCTGACCAGAAACATACCATCGGAGGAGAACTTGCCACAATAAATTTCACTATCATGTCCATCTAGAAGCATATTGGGAGCTTGTAGTCCAGAAGTTCGAGGAATACTCCCTGGTTGTCCAGCCGGTACGATTTGCGACGAAGCCCTGCCGTAGCTTCCACCATATTGGGCAAGTGCCAATGCAGCGGGTTCATATCGAGCCTTCTTTGTCGGCAAAGGAACCATAGACATGCTTGCAATACCAGCCAGAGGGCGTTTGAAGTCCATCACGCAGCTTACTGATTTGATACAAGAACGGAACTGAAATTCAACAGCTCAACTTGTGGTCCACATAAATACTTTACAATCTTAGTACGCTCGACAGAATTTTATTATCTTCGTTTGGAATCACATAAAGTCAAAACAAATCTGGACATAAAAAGAGCTAGTTCTTGTTGGCCAATATACCCCACTTAACTTACAATCAGTTAAATTAGTTTGTCCACGTGGGTTTGTACTATATAATAATAATGTCTAAATCCGGTTAATGCAAAAAAGTATATATAAAGGTTCTTAAAATGATCGGTAAAAAAAGACTAGAGATAGGAGCAGTACATTTATCGTTTCTCACTCGAGTGACAAGTAAAGCACAAATTTCAACTAAATCCCGAAGGCAATTGACCGTTTAATTATGAAGTGTTTTTCAAGATGCTTTGAAAATAGAAACACTACCGTAACTAATTTGTATCACTCTGGTGTTACCTTGGTAACAAAGGTGTTTGGTGAGTAACTGTGACCGCAATCTTTCTCCGCCTATGGTTATGCCTTTCCTGATCTTATATTAATTATCACATAAACTACAGTATGCACGTGTACAGATGTAGCGAAATCATATAAGATACGTTGTGCAAATCTGTTTTTGGCTTCTCTACGCATATATGTATATGGCTCTGTTTAGATTAGTAATATATATATATATATATATATATATATATATCGCTGCCCTATTAAATGACATCTTGCATTAGATTGTAGACCAGTTCTCTATGGTTTGACGTTGATTAACTAATTAATTTCATTCTTTTAATGGATGACTCGGCAGTCGACGAACTGATCGGAAATCACACAAGTCAAATCAAGTAAAGTAAGCACTCCGAAGGGTGAATTTTGAGCGATTTTTCAGTGGAAGCGAGGGGAGGGGAGATCGTATCAGTGTGAATAAGGTAAACCAAAACGACAGCAAACTGCGAGCAAGAAGACAATAGTGGTATATTAAAATGAATAAATAAACTAATTCATGAGGTGTTCCATCAGACCTGCAATAACAGGTGCCCGATTCACTAAAAAGCGGGCAAGAAAAAGGAGGATGCTGTTTCTATATGTGACGATGCGTGCGGGGAGGAGCTTATGATAAGTGCGGATACACGGCGGGGGGGTAATTTGGATTTAAGTTCGTTGTGCAAGCAGTGGTCTTCGTTGTTCGTATTCTATCAACTATTCTTCCAAATGCGTCGATATGCTTGCACAATAAAATCAACTAAGGCATCTCTGGCTATGCCACTACATCCAGAAAGAAATTTCGTGGATCTGGAAATTAATATGAAATCTTTTTCTTTCGGGCCGGGAAAAAAATACACGGGAACAGTATAGCCAATAAGGGAGGATGCATGCTACCACGAATTTAAAAATTAAGTTTGGGGAAACAGCAAGCTTCCTACGCCTGAAAGCATAAAAATAAAGCTTACGAACCTTATCGTGAACGTTCTCTACATGTCTAGTCCAAGAGAGATTGTGGAATAGAACGACTCCGAGGTATTTAACAGAGTCAGCTTTTGGAATGCCGTGACTGTTAACGACAAGATCCGGTAAATCATTCAAGGTATTTTGATAACGGGAGCCATATTTAAGCACGAAGGAAACGTCAACACTTGACTTGACTCCACTTAAACATTTGGGAAGGATCATCCGGAGACAATACTGCAGCTAACTTTTTGACGTCCCTTGGCTAAGCAACGAATTAGCTATCGTACCGATTTTCATACATGACAGAATATCACAAATAGCAACGGTGGCCATCTATTTACCAGCGGTGCGGAATTTGTGCGCTTGAAGCTCACCATTACCGCTCATCTCTTACAACTCCAAGGGTGCAGTACTATTAATTAGAAGTAATTCTTATACTGTATTATTTATCATTAGAAAATCACTTTATTTTCCAGGAAATCCATGATTCAGTGAAACATTGGATTCTGAACACATTGTACTGATTACGCTCAACAGCCGATTATGTTGTACCGTAGGTTACATTGAAGCGAAAGAAGAGGATATCTATTGGTTAACCGTCGGATTCAGCTTCAGTTCATTCATCTCGAAATAATAAAAGATTGGATGAAAGAGTATTTAACAGGAAACTATCTTCAACCACCTGTATTCTTAACGAAGAGAAGTGCACCATCGGTACCAAAAATCTAAAACTCTCTTACTAGGGTTCACATGATCTGAAGGTACCGGAGCCCGAATGGCTGGAACCACTTCAAGAACTTCCGCTTCTAGAAGACCTTAGTTCGCAACGAAGGACAACTGGTTTATTCTCATAATCATTATTACCATTGTTCTTCCAAAAGCCTTAATATGGTCGGGGGTGGGTGTCTAGGGTTGCCGCTGGTCACCCTTCCTTTGCGCCTCGTGAAATGCTCCCACACGACCAAGCTGGCAAGGTAGAGCACAATGACCGCCTAGGCAAGCTTCCGATGCACTGTTTTCCAACTTAAGCGTTAAAATCACCTGTGAGAACAACCATATCGGAGTTTCGGCTCAATGGAATGAGTTCGGTGAGTTTATCATAAAACTAGTCTTTTTGTGCGTCAGAACTGTGGCTTATCGGTAAATACGCTGAAATGATGAACAAACAGCTTTTGGCGTTGCTTCCCTTCCGGACGCTGATAGATCCTTGGAGCTGTATTGCACATAAGCAATGGTTGATGGGGATCCAACCGAGTAGTGCAGCTTCGGTTGTATTATTGAGTACAATGCCCAAGCCACGCTGGCATACTGAATGGGCTTCGTGACCACCTGGCGTGTGGAGAAAGTACCTCAAAGACAACTCCGGTGCACTTAAGGGGCTTATAGAACCAGGATCCTGAATTTGCGTCTAGGATACAGAGCAGACATCAATTCTCAAAGAGTCCATTGTACGCGCCAGACACGCTTGTTGACCTACCTGCATCAGTGTCCTCACGTTGAAGGCCTCTAGATTCAGTGACTGACGAGGGTTGAAAGTCTGCAATCTATTTTGTGGTAAACTACTTACAGCGCTATTTGACAACGAACTTTGGTGAGTGACAAACGCGTTGTCTGAGGCAGTGCTACAGGTTGGAAGAAGGGGTAAAGGGAGAGTTAGGTACGGAAGACAAAGAGCTGAACAAGGGTTGGGGTGTGTGAGCAGCTCACTTATCACCACCCATTCCGTTCGATGCAATGGGCAGCGCGGTCTCGATTATCCTGCGCGACGACCGATGCAGCATGGAGTTCTTTTTTCTTTGTGTGTGTAATGTTCCCACAGGATCCTTGTCAAGATGATAGAAGGAAAAAGGTTACTAAATCCACCGGAGGCAAATAGATAATCCGTGCTTCTTAAAAGGTCTCCAATAGAAGTGGTGCCATTTTCTTGTACCAGCAACATGGGGACACATCTGCAATATTCACCGGATGTCCACATGCACAACTGCCGGTTTTAGGAAGTACCTTTCTGATCTAAACACATTCCACACATGCAGTCCCTCCATTTTTGGATAGAAACGACCGTGTACGCTTTGGCTGATCGATGTAGAACGTACAAAACAGTGAAAATTGGAACAAACTCACTACACCTTTAAGACGAAGCACACATTTCCATCATTGCACTATTTACAGTCATTCAAATGGTGACAACTTTTATGAAAGAATCATCAACATTTAACTTGAAATTAAAACGTTGGATGGAGGTGACTGTCGTCCAGGTGCGACTACATCGTCACTAGTCAAAACCCCGTTGTACAACCATGGAACTGAACTTAGACTGCCAAATGACTTCCACCTTCAGACAGGTGCCATCAAGTCTCTATAAATTCCCACAAACACATTGACTATCAGCGGGCACCCGGCGAACACGCCCTGAGCCGACGGCACATGCAGGAGACAGCGCCCATAGAACCCACTGACCAAAATCGTAATAACAGCGGTCTTCCATTTATATATTTTTTATTACACACTTTCGTGTGATGAACAGCAGACGGAGTAAACCCCATAGTCACGAGGATCAGCTCTTCAGTGATGGAAACCGGTAACCTAAGCCCCGGGACTTGGAGTGGCCAACCACATAAGGCCCCGATAGGTTAGGCGTAAAGAACCCTGTAACTTTATTTGGATTATTAGTGATATGATAAAACAGTCTTTACCCTAAAGTGTCCGTGGTTTTCACCAGATATTATACCTGTTCATCTGTTCGATTCGTTTAAATTCGATTCCCATTTTAAATGGTTAATAAGGGGCTCAATTGTCCCGATATGAGCACCAAAACACGATTCTCTAATGGAGGGTGGAAGTCAGTCACAGGACACCAGGAGTTTCCATGCGGTAAGAAAAACTGCACCGCAAAGGTATCAGATCAAGGCGTAAGCTGTGATACCTACAGCGTACGGTACCACCCCAAATGCAGTGGGCTAACAAGCAATATCTTTCAAATCTACGGGCAAAACAAACGCCTGAGGTGGACGTGCCTAGCCTGCAAAGCTACCCTGGTAATTGTTAGGAAAATAGATAGGCAGGTGATCAAACTGAAACTAAGGCCCAAAAACAGCGACCTGAAAGAGAGGGGGAAGCCAGAGGATGTAGCAAGTAGGATGACTAGATAGAAAAAGAAGGGAGAAACCGCAAGTGTAGAATCCGCTCTCACGACCGCAAATATCGAACTCAGAGCCAACTTGGAGAACCTAACCAGGCGGCTGGACGGTCATGATGACCTGAACAGACTGAGAAAGGAAAATGATTCCGGGGGGGGGGTAGTCGAAAGGCTACGAAAGAACAGCAACATAGCCATGGGTGGACAGAGAAACCTACTCACTCATGGCATACGGGAGCCCTTCATGCGGCAGGGTAAACTACAGGACAAGTACATGCGCGACTACTTGGCAGCGCTGATACGAGCCGTGGAAATTCGCGAACATATCCTAATCAAAAGAGTGCTCAGACTTGGGCCATGGAGGGACGTAAAAGAAACAGAGACACCACAGCCCCGACCAACAATCGCT